ATTATCTCTTATAATATATATATTTTTTAGTTGTGAGTATTCTAAAAAATCTAGCAAGTAATGTAATTAAGAAAGCCTATCTGGATCGTTAATGAGATGTTGATCCAATGGATGTGAAGAAGAAGGAAACCCTAGATGTCTTATAAACAAATAAAGACTTGTCTCTTTCTCCCAACCATCATTAAAATCTTGGAACATGGCCGACGCCGGAGATTAGAAGGACTGGGTCCATCCGACGTCCGTTGTAATCCGTGAGGGCCTTCGCATCAGAGGAAAGAGGGTTAGTCCTCGATCTCTATTTTGCTTTATCATCTGATTTGATTCATCTTTGCGCAAACCATACGTTTTTTTTGTTCTTCTTAATTGTCTATTAAAAAGGTTCGGCGGTCAGATATTCGCATCAGAAAGAACATCCCCAAGTCCCACCTCTCTGATCGTCTTCTTATTGATGAAGATATCGAGCTTCCCTGTCCGACGCGGGTCCCTGAGAATATCGTCCATCTCAATGTCCCAGAGGAGCATCCTGGATTCAAGGACGGTTGTTGTTATCATGCAGTCTGTGTGACCTGCCAAAAGAACAATGTGACCCTGAAACGTGTTGGGAATCACTTGGAGATAGTAAGACTCGTTCTCTGCTGCTCTCGACTCGAATAAGATTATAATTTGCTTTTCCTGCCAGCCTTTACGTTACAAAGTAGGGCTTAGACTTTTAGAATTACAAGTCTCATTGATCTGTAAGAACTTATTACTGATGGGAGAAGTAAAAGGTGATTTTTAATGTTATTTCCATAATTTCTCTTCTAATGAACCATAATTTTTTTTTTTAAAACAATTAGCTTTGCATCTAGTGTTTGTGTTTACACAGAAAATGTTCCATATTTCTTTCATATTAATTTATGTTGTAAAACTGTTTTGATAAAATATTAAACAAAAATTCAATTATTCTAAATCTCTAAAGTACATTGTTCAAACCGTGATCACAACAATTTTGAACAAGAACGAAGTTCACTCAACCGGCATAAAGTTAAATCCCACAAGCTTGTTTCCGATCTACTCCCAACTATTCCAGATAAACTTTGATCCAAAACTTCAACCTTTAGGGATTCTTTTTTCTTTTTCTTTTTTCATCTGAAAATATATCATATATTGAAAAAAATATTGATCCAAAGGAACCATTTACATCAATACTATAACTAAACCAAAAGGCCATTTCTCATGGGACATGAGGCCAGGCCAGGGTCCAAAGACCAATTCAACATGTGAACTAGGGGTCGCCAATTCGGTC